TTTGGCCACAATGCAAAATGATATGTTTGGCATAAAAGCAACACAGCTCATCACCCTGAACACACCATCCCCACCGTCAAACATGGTGGTGGCAGCATCATGGTTTGGGCCTGCTTCTCGTCAGCAGGGACAGGGAAGATGGTCAGAATTGATGGGAAGATGGATGGGGCCAAATACAGGACCATTCTGGAAGAAAACCTGTTTGAGTCTGCAAGAGACCTGAGACTGGGACGGAGATTTATCTTCCAACAAGACAATGATCCAAAACAAAAAGACACATCTACAATGGAATGGTTCACAAATAAATGTATCCAGGTGTTGGAATGGCCAAGTCAAAGCCCAGACCTGAATCCAATCAAGAATCTGTGGAAAGAGCTGAAGACTGCTGTTCACAAACGCTCTCCATTCAACCTCACTGAGCTCGAGCTGTTTTACAAGAAGAATGGGCAGAACTTCAGTGTCTCCATGTGAAAACTGTTAGAGACAAACCCCAAGAGACTGTAGCTGGAACTGCAGCAAAAGGCGGCGCTACAAAGTATTAACGCAAGGGGGCCCAATAATACTGCACGCCCCACTTTTCAGTTTTTTATTTGTTAAAAAAGTTTGACACATCCAATAAATTTCATTCCACTTCACGATTGTGTCCCACTTGTTGTTGATTCTTCAGAAAAATTAAAATTTTATATCTTTATATTTGAAGCCTGAAATGTGGCAAAAGGTTGAAAAGTTCAACGGGGCTGAATACTTTCACAAAGCACTGTACATATAGAGGTATAATTAAAATTGCTTTCACTCTTGTTTCCTTTTATTCCAGCTTCTTCTTTTGTAAAATATTTTTATTATCCCTTGTATGTCTGATGGGGCTGAGCATTTAGAGTTAAATGCATTCTTACTGTTTAACAAATTAAAGTAAAGAACATATGGTACTGATCAAATGTTAATTTTAAACCAAATTTAAACTTGGAATTCTTGTTCACCTTTTACTTTTATATTTTTGTCAGGAAATAATTTTTGGACTTTCAGTTCAATACAACTTTTTACTGTTACTGCCTATGGAGAGACAAACAGGCATTTTTTTTTCAGAGATAACATTTGTTGGGTTATTTTAATGGCTATATTGATAAGTGATGGCAAGATTCCAGCAGATATAAAATGAATGTCAACAAAAAAGGTGAAATCGTGTCATCTGGACCAGTTTATTTAAGTGAGAAATGTTTCTCACTTAAATAAACAAGTTCTCGGCTGCTTTTTGCAGAGAAAAACATTTTTACATGAAGGCACAGGTTGG